CCGCCATCAACTATTCAATGTGAAAAAGCATCTAACCTTATCATCAATGTCGGTGAAGTTCCGCACGTATTTAACTTCATAACCCAAGTGTTTCAAGTACCTGCTAATTGACAAACTGATACATAAGTTTTGACAAGATATTTTCATTGCATTAGATCTGCATAAAATTCATGGAAATATACTTGCAAAAGTGAAATATACAGTCAAGAAACAAAACACCTATGTTACATGCATCATAATTTACACAACATGAAAGCAGTCAAATTTTGTAAATAGCATAGACACATGTTACTAACTTATGAATCTAACATTTTTCACCAGATTCTAGCTCACACAAATTTGCCGATATATGCTCAAAAGGTGTCTCGAACATCTCAGAATCTTCATGGTTAACTGGTTAGCCAATGGTACTTCCAAAATGTATGGATGGCTTGGACTGACCATCACCAAGAACAACATGATTGATAGCTAGATCATGTAACTAGCACCACCAACAGAATTTTCTGGAACACTCAAAAGTTAAGCCAGTTATCGACAACTTAAAACAATCTGAATGGTTTTAAGTTTTCTGGTTCATGGATCAACCACCAAGGATTTTCTTTGCACAACAGTTGCGTGTGTAACTTAGTAAATGGTAAGCACATGCAGTCAGAATAGATAGTGCAGCCACTGCCAAAATAGAGATATTCAGGGAAGATAAGAAAACAAGATATACAAAATAGAGATATCAATGCCTGTCAATTCTTCAACCAATTTATCATCTTCAGTCTCTCCTCCAACAATTCAAGAAACTAACTACTTCTCTACACTTTTTCATTCTCCACAATAAGACAAACCGAACTAATCCAGTATAAGAAATTAACTAAAGGACTGAACCATCCCAAGAAATCAAGCAGAGTGGGTCAGTGGCCATCGGTTTTAACTGGTTTAGCAATTCTCAAACCAACGGTCGCGCTTCCAGGCCTCATTATTGAAGGATAAAGGTAAGACTTGATGTGACAAAAAATGGTTGGAAGATCATCAGACAGATTTTCCTTTTTTGTTCTGTGTTTTTCATTGTTTTCTTTCCTCTTTTGTTGATTTCTTGTTTCTGTGGCACACTGTCGCTTGCTATCAAACTTGACAATAATGTTTTACAAACCAAGCCAACTCATTAAATAAGGTCAAACCAGCCTTCTCATACAAAAAAGACATGTCCAATCAAGGAATATATCTAAAGGACTGAGCTGACCTAAAATTCAACGCAAATGGACTGTGATCATCAGGTTTAAATGGTTTCACATATAATCATCCGAGCCTTTTGACCCAGTGATTTACTTCGATACCTTCAACTAAACCACATTAACGGCGAAGCATCATGTCGCCCACATATTCCCCAAACGCATAAAAAAGAAGACAAAATCATATGCATCCCAAGACAGAAAATTTACGAACAAATCGCAGATTTGAAGCGGAAAACAAAATCAAGTAGCGAAGGACGAAAAAAGGGAATGAGGCAGACCTATAGAGTACGTCGAAAGCGACGTAAGCACGGGCGTGGCCGATGTGGCTGAAATCGTAGGGCGTGACGCCGCAGACGTACATGGAGACCTGGCCTTCCACGCGAGTCTTGAACACCTCCTTCTGCTTCGACATCGAATTGAACAGCACCAGCTCCGGATTCCCCATCCTTCGCCCCCCTTTCGATGTCTCTTTCCCCTCTTCCCAAGGACGTAAAAACCCTAATTCTCAGACGACGGCGACGGCGACACGGCGACAACAGCGTGTGCGTTCCTTATATTTCTTTTTGGGATTTCCCTATAAAATATTCAGATGTTTTTCAAAAGATACTTCCTCTTTTATTTTTTTTATTTTTTTATTTCTTTTATTTTTATCCCCAATTTAATATATTTAAAATATCCCTTAACAGTTTTTCTGGTAAAATCTACTCATTTTTTTTGTTAATTTTTAATTGGTATAATATTTATTTAATTAATTAATAATATTTATAATATTTTATTTATGTATTGAAAATGATAAAACATTATTGAAAAACACTGTAAGTGATATTATTGTATGTTTCTAGTTATCATTATTTATAGATCATTATAACTTAATATATTTTAAGTTTATAATTAGCTTGATTGAGATTAAAATTTGTTTAGTTCACTTATAGTATTTTTAAGTAGACTTTACAATGTTTTTATTGTGATGGTCAGATCATTATTATAATAGGTCAAGAACACCATAATGGACCATAACACTATAACAAAAGAAAAAATTTTGAAGGTATAATTTAAATATTTTAATAGTTAAGGAATACTATTTGGAAAAAAGCAAAATGAGAGATACAGATTAGAAATATCCAAAATGAGGATATTTTTTAGCAAAATCACCCTTTCTTTTTTTTTTCTTTGTACAAAAACCCTCCACTCTATTTTTTTTATATCGAGCGTTCATCACAACAGAAACACTATAAAGTTTATTTGAGATCACTGTAAATAATTTGAATAGACTCTTATTCTCAACTAAACTAATTATAAATCTAAAAATATGATAATATAATAATCTATAAGTAATATAATATCACTTACAGTATTTTTTCAATAACGTTTATAGTATTGGATCTTTTGCGGAAATAGTTATTAGGTACAATTAAACTGAAACTAAGAACACTAAACAATTTCCACACAGTCTGGTAAAGTAACTCAGAATTATTTGGTGCAGCTAATGGAACTAATAATCGATCTTTCGGATCCAACCTTTCCCAGAAGTTTTTGCATGTCCAAGTGAACGAGCAATCTGCAGCAGCAGGCACTTAACCTAGGCCTGACCCTGCTGTGCTGTTTCTTTACGAGGGGCATCGGCCTTGATACGTGCTGGTCTGAGGATTCGGTCAATGAGTCCATACTCCAGAGCTTCTTGGGCATTGAAGCGCTTCACATAACTCAGATCCTTGTTAATCTGCAGAAGCCAAATACTACGTCAATCAAAGACAAGTAGAAAAGAAAAACCAGATAACAGACATTCCCACATGAGATTTTTATCTCTGTTCCACAAAGCTAATAAAGAAATTTCCTAACGGAAATAAATTGCAGCCAGTTACTTTCATGTGTGCTTCTAGATGACTGAATTACCATGAAATTAACGGTAATCCAATGCATATCTTCATGCTTTTGACCAAATCATGCATCAAGCCTCAGAAATGGTCACCAATTGTTAATGTGTTAACCTGTACTGGATCCAACCATTTGTTTATGGGTCAGTCACTTTTCAGTCAACGAATTAACAAGTCTGATCAGGTGGGGTTTATAACAGACTTCTTTTGTTAAAAGATCAACTAGAACTGATGTGACATGGCCCAGAAACAATCTAATCTTAGAAGGTCAAATTCGACCAAAACCAGTTACATGCGTTCACTCTTGAAAGTGGAAATCAATCTGATCTGAAACAACCCCACCTACTTTTGAGTATTGAAGTCCAACAATTGCGCACCACAAAACTCAATACATATCAAGTTCAATACGTTTGATAAAAATATATTGCATGCATCCTAAAAAGATTCACTGTAAAATTCAAAAGGGAACACGTACCTTTTCAACAGGTTGCCCTGTCTTTTTAGCCAATTCTCCAAATAGGTAATCCCTAATTCGAAGGAGTTCATTTGCTTCATTACGAATATCATCAGCCTGCAAAACAAATAATTTTATTATTTATGGTTTTAATTCTGGAGTTGAAAGAATGGAGCTACAGGGCAGAGATCAATTGTCTTTTGCCACATGACATCAATTCTTCTTTAAGATTTCAATCCAATAGAAAAAAAGCAGGCAATGCTGACAATAGTATGGATTTAAAACTTAGCACTTTACTAATAGGGAGTTACATCAGCAAATTAACATGCATGATTTGATATTCAAAGACCAGATTGACTTGGTGCAGTCAGCAACTAGGAGTATATAATAAACAAGCAACTCGAAAGAATTAGGTGTATTGTCTGTAGATGCAGAACAATTCAAAATCTAAAGATGATTTTCTTGAATCCTGGTATTTCAGATAAAAGAGTCAAATACCAATCAGATCGACGTATATTGACCGGTATTTACTGGTCCTACCAAGGACCAATTCTGGACAATATAGGTCAGTGTGTTTAAGTTTGTTTGATAGTTGTTAATGCTGATGTATTTTTGTTGTAAAATTTAATTGTTTCTCGTATTGGAGTCAGCAGATTTCTTTGATTACTGATGTAGATTAAAAGTAAAATGCTTATATCATTTCTTTTCTTGCTTAAGCTTAAGGCACTGAGTTATTTGTAGAAATAAAATGATTATTAAATTACCAAAAAAAATTATGATGTAAAACCTTGTTGGTTAAACATAAAAAATTGTGCTCCATTAAAAGTTGTTAAAAGGAATAAAGACCTGGCCACGAGCTGCTCCGGCAGGTGGTTGAAGGGTAACACGACAAAGAGGCATACCAACACGGCTACCCTACATAACAACAAAGAAATTGACAATATACAAATAGAAGTTGACAAAAAACAACCGTGATGACAGCACAATAGCATCATTTACTCATAGATGAACCAAGAAAAACAGCCAAACCTTCTCTCCAGCCGCAAGAAGAAACCCTGCCATGTTATATGCATGGCCTATACAGTGTGTCGCAACTGGACTTTTTAAGCTTTGCATAGTGTCATATATAGCCATGCTTGGAGTAAGCTGCAAAACAAGCAAGTCATTAAGCAAGTAAGAATGAAGTGAAGATGACAACAGTTACATATGTAATTGTGACTAGTTATCTCCAATAGACTTGCCAAGGCTGCCACACCAATGTCGGCATGAGCAACATGCACTGGGCTAGGTTCTTTTCTGTTTCAAGCAGTGATATGTTGCTAAGATATATCAGACGATTGTATGATATAATAAAACATGAAAAAGTTTAAATTTTGGCGAATAGAAGAGACTCCAAAAATCCTTATTGCACAAGAATCTTCTATACAGCAGACAAGATTTGCTGTTAGTTATCTATAAATATGATATTAATGAAGTTATATTAGTCAAGAAACAAGCAAAGAAGCATAAGACTGACAATCTATTACCAACCATTTAAAAAAAAAAGTAATGGTAGTAAAACAATCTCTTGTCAGATGTTTCCCAGTTAGCCCTTTTCCTGGTTCAAATACTAATAACATCAAAGAAAATTTAAAAAGAAGAAACATATCAAACTTAAGATTTGAAGTCATATTAGTGAAAGAATATATGAGTTTGATGTGAATTACAATGATGAGTCAAACATCTACCATAAGCTTGGAATTGAAAGATTAATATAGGACTTTTTCTAAAATTAACTGATAATTAAAAGATTTTTACAAGTAAATACAAGCATCTTAAATAGAAATTACATTCATCCACCAACAATACTATGTCACATTAAAACATTATATATATATATATATATATATATATATATATATATATATATATATATATATATATTCAAACATGTCTGTCACAAAGTCAATATGTAAGGTATATATTTCTTGATGCCAAACTACACTGTTTCCAATGGCTCAAGTGACCTTGGATCTAAATACCACAAAATCCTACTTCTCTTAACCTTGAAATAGAGAATACATCCTTGTTCAAATTAAAGATATGCAGATTTATATGCGTGAGATTTGTATATGTAAAAAGTAATTCAATTGAACATTACAATTTTAAATAAATTAACTAGAGAGCTTTGATTTGGGTAAGGTGCATAGTCAAAAAAGAAAACAAAGAATCTATTAAGTACTCACATCTCCACCTGGGCCATTAATGTAGAGGTACATCTTTTTGGAAGACTCGATGCTGTCAAGATATAACATCGTTGCCAAGACTTGGTTGCAGAATTCTTCATCTATATGTTCCCCAATAAAGATAACACGTTCTCGGTACTACAATTTAATAAATTAGATTGAATTCATAGTAATACAATAATGGAACTCATTGGAAGACAAGTACATTGAATATATGAATCAAGATAGACTTGTTCTTCTTACTAGAGCATTCCACAGATCAACCCATTGCCAAGTTCCTTCACCTGGAGTTCTGTATGGCACTCTTGGAGTACCAATGGGCATCATAAATATGCGTCCTTGTGAACCTCTTTTTGTAGGATGCCTAAAGTACATCAGAAAGATACAATAAAGAAAATTGACATGTGAATAACATGATTAAAAAAGAGCTTAAAGTTAAATACATAGAAAAAAACCAAGTAAATAAGTTTTTTTTAGTTATATTAGAATGCAATCAGGGAGCTAGTTATATTAGTTTTGTGATCATCAGTCATCAAAACTAAACAAAATATAACATGTTCCTTCTGAAGCATCAACTAGATTCACTTTAGAGATCATTGCGATTCAATTGGATATACTAAATATAGGAAATACATCAAAACTTAACAAAGCTCTAGGCAAGAAAGCTTCCTTGTTTTTAATTTGCAAAGCTTTACCACATTCGTCTCTTCAAAATTCATCGATATGCAAATGCTAAACTTAGTTAAGTCATATAAAGATTTGTAAACTATTTGTATCAGAAAAGTTTATTTATAAGATACACAAAAAACTTTAACAACAACAATCATAACAAGAAGCCACCATGTCGCAATTATTCAGGGCCACCTATATGGAATTTTTCCCACCACTAAGCAATATCTAATAAGAAAATTTTCATTACATGATTCGATAACAAAATGTAGGTTCTGACTTGGGAAATACCTCTCTGCACTGACATATT